GAAAGTAGGACTAACTTTTGTTCAGTTAACATTATTTGACTCGTGAGTGGTGGCACTGGAGCCCTAGCAGTAGCGTACCTCCTGTTGGGAAGATATTTTTATTATTTTGCCCAACCAACAACTTAAAATTGTTGGTTGGGCTTCCTTTGTCTGTCGTGCTGGCTTCATACATACAGGGGAGAGACTGGAGGGGAGGGACCAGTGGGCGCACACTGTAGCTGTTCCCACTCAACGTTCTTGAAGCCAAAATACGCCGCTTAGGGGCGCTTCCATCTTGCATTTTGACGTCATTTGGAGCCAGAGTCTGCGCAGTAGGGTCCGGAGGGAGGAGCCCTGGTAACACGCCCCGCCCACTTAGCGTACTGCCCTGATGACTTACGCAGCCCAGCTACGCCGAAAGCGCTCTGCCGGTCTACGATGAAGAAATGTGTAAGTACAACCAACCACCGTATTCAAAGTCTAATATTTAAACACACTGTGTTTTAAAAAATCCAGTTATTTTGATCACTATTGAAAATACGTGGGCTGCTGGGTCCTCTGTTTTTGCCGAAATCGTTCTATATTTAAGCTATATTTAAGCTAGGTTAGCACCACAGACCGTAGGCTACAGGTGGTAAGATATGTTGTATTCTGTTAGAAACTGATAGTCTGCAATGTGATTCATGTCTGCTTTTCTAATATATTTAAGTGAACAGTAAATCAATTGTTTTTTGTATCTTCATTTAGGCAAAGAAGAGATAAAAGCAGCAGGTCTGACATCTTCCACAGAGGTGAAGTGTAAGTTAAAATCATCTGTTAAAAGTTTATATCCTGTGATTTTTTTGAAGTTTCATAAAGAGGATTGTCAAAACAAGATATTGTTAACAATACAGTCTTCTAAAAATAAAAATCAGACTGAGTCATACACCAGCTAAATGTTAAATAGAAAGGTGATGTTTTCTTTTCCATTTTACAATCAACTGAACCTAAAAATTACTAATTTCAACGTTTGTCTGCACACCTGTTACAGAGGTCAGGCTGGGGTCACATAGTTTGAAGGAACCTCCTCCTTTTTTCACCTGTGCTTGGACTAAGAGCTGTGCCAGATGCCCTGCTCATCCACTGTGGTAGAAATGACCTTACACCAGCAGCTCTCCCAGATGAAGAGTCCTCTCTGCCATCACCCAGAGGAGCTGATCGACGTCTGAAGAAGGTGGACAGAGTCTGGTGCTTTGTGACAGTGAACAGTGAGAAGGCTACCATAGTCATCCTCAGATAAAACACAGAGATCCAGGTCAATATTCAATTTATTTTTCTTAACATGATGTTACCCTGTGTTTGAAAGACCAGATGCTGGAGGGTTGTGTTGGATTTGGTTTTCCATCATATTCTAACAGTCAAACAATCATCCAGGATCTCTATACTTTATTTGATTTTTGTTTGGATTTCTTTGTTAAATTATTTTTTATACTTTCTCCTATGTCCCAGCAATTGGACCTGATGGTCTCCCTTACTTATTTTCCACATGGTTAATGAAGCCAGGGGTTGTTTATTGAAGATTTCTTTTCATAAAATGTTTAAATAAACTTTTTAAAATCTGAATTGACTGTCTCTGATTAACTGGAGAACGACAAAGTGTTGGTCGCAGTAAAATAATTTAACAGTTAAGTTTATAGCTCACATTTGAAAAGGCCTTGAACTGACATTCATTTCTTCTTGACCAACAACAGCTAAGACAACAGCAAAGCTAACAGACGAGCTCAGCTTGTCACAGCCGGTCTCGTCTGAGATAAATGGCCTTCAAACTTATTTAATATTAAACATTTAAAGCCAATAAGCATAGCAAGATACGCATGAGATTCCATTTCCATTTATTCAATCACAGACTTGTCAAACAGTCTGGCATTTTGTGCTGCTGTTTTCAAGAGTTAATAACTGAAGAGAAGAACTCCATCGAGAGAGGACAGGAAACACTCAGGGGACGAGTCCTCCATGTTGTCAGGGGTTGCTGATGGATCTGAATCTGAGGGCATCTTCTGTAATAAAGAAAAACAATCATGGAGTTAAATGTAAAGTATAATGAATTTTACTGTGATGTTTATGCTTCAGACCTGAAATCAGATCTGTCCTCAGGTTCTGCTAAACTTCAGGTTCTAAAGTTTGTTTTTAAGACAGGAGAACTATTTAAGAGAAAAAACAAAATATGTAATAAGACATGATGAATTCAATAATATGATCAGCTTTATGAATTTATGTTTTAATACAAAAGTGTTCCTGCCACTTTCTATTGAAGATTATTGTAAACTGTCATCACATGGGCCAGCCTGATAAATTAAACTAATGTTAAATATTCTCATATAATCAGACAGCCAATTTGTGTGCTGAACCTCACCGGAGCTGGAATCAGAGTCTGGACTGCTGTTTCCTTTGGGCATTGATTTCCTTGAAGACAGAAAGAAGAACAATTTAAACATGAACTTCTTGCAGAACCATAGAGGCTGTTAAAAGCTTCTGCTAGTCGTCCTTACATTTTAAGAAGGATTATAAATTGTTACTAAAATTACTTTGATGCTGATAGCGGTTACAATAACACGGTCCAATCATATGAGAGATCATTTTACCTTTGAGTCCTATGTGAAGGCGTTCTCTTCAGAATCAGCACTGCAAAGACAAGATGATGGCGTCCACCTTCACAACATGCTGCTTCAGTCTGGCTGCATCATGGTCACCTACAGGAACACCACAGAAATGCAATCAAAGTACTTCACTTTATTTATCAGAGGATCTACTGTATGCAAAGTAAAAGAAAATTAGCTGTAATTCCTCAAAAAGATTTGAGACTGCTTTGTTATTTGAGAGCACAGATTGTTTCTTTTCCCTTCTCTCTGTTTGCCTGTACATGACCTTTTAGTGCTGTAAAAGATGCTACAGTAAATCCTGGATCAGCTGTATGGATGGTGTGACTGTGTGGTAAAGCTTTGTTAAAGTTGTCACGCACATACTCATATGCCTTTGGAGAGTAAAAGTGCAGTGTGGTGGCAAACTGCTTATAAAATATGAAATAGTATTTTATTGATGAGGTGCCCCAATCAAAGCGTCCTACAGAGTAGCAGCAGCTTTAGAGGGAGGAGACGAGAGCATTATGGAGAGGAGCTCACCGGAGGGAGCGAGCTGGAGGAGAGACCATACGGAGAGACGTGCAACCTGATGAAAAGGAAATCCCAGTTTAACATATAATGTTGACGAAAAGAGGGAAATAGGACGACATAAATGTCAATGTTGAAATTCTTTTGAATACAGAGGCTGTGAATGTTCAGTTTTCTTTGGCTATAAAAAGGCAACAATAGCCTGTAGTTTAATCATGGTGTTTCTCTTCGTTAACGATTATTGAAGCGAAATCAAAAATAAATGCATGACATTTAAAACATATTAACATGTGTGGGGGAAAACGTGATCTTTATGTCTTCTTTTATTGTGCCTATGTCTCCTCCTAACTACAATAACAGCAGCCTGTTGTGTGTAACACTGGTCTCCTGCATTAACACCTTCCTTTCAAAGGTGATAAATACAGATACACAGTCACAATCACCGCAATGTTTGTCAGGTTTTGTCAATTTTTAGAACAATTTCTCAATGAGTGTCATTAAATTTACAATATGATCAACTTGTGACTGTTGAATTGGTGTGTGGAAGACAATGCAGAATATTTATCAGTTTAAGCAGCATGATGCTCGGTTAATATTACATTACACCACCGCAGGTTGTTGATGTTTGCGTTCACGTTTCGGTTAGTCTCTTAAATCAGTAACAGTTATATTAAATCAGATCTTACCTTTAGTTTAATCTGGATAGCTAGAGAAATATTCTACCCTCGTATATAGTACTATGAATTTCAGCCTGCACGGTGAAAGTAAAACCTGTTACTCTCGGTATAGTCCACTTATCACTCAGACTGTAAACATGTACACATTAGTAATGATGCAGGCCAGATTACAATTATGTGACTTTGTTTTTGCCCTACATACTTTTTTCAGACCTTACCAGACTTTTTATTTTTGCTGTAAAATAACTGTACAGTCAATGAACCGCATCTATGAGCAGATTTTTATAACGATTCTTGGTTTTAAATACAATTTCAATCACAATAACGATATAACAATATCAAGAAACATAGCATGTCAGTTATTAGGTTTGCTCATTTAATAAAATAGAAAGATAAATCATGCCGGATCAGTAACCTAGCTTTACAATATTTCAGCTAACTTAGACTGCTTATGTGTTAGCTAGCTAGATAACGACTTTAACCAAACAATGACACATAAATCACTTTTTACTTACCGAAAAACTGCAAAGATCCCTTAGCTCCCACAGGTCGGTTAGAACAGTTTACTGCAGAACAACTCATTTTGCCAGCTCAAAAAAGATGAAAAAACTGAACGGAAACATTCAATGGCGTCTCGGCTTTCCTTCACTACGTAACTTTTGCTATTCACAAAGAGAGCTACGCAAGATCGGCGGCTGTCAATCATCGTCAAATATGACGTAAAATCCCATTTTTCAACCTCAAATAACTTATTTAAAACAAACTTCACAGAAAAATGAGCACTTGAACACAATGTAGGGTGATAATAATTAATGATCACAGCAGAGTTTATGTTTGGAAAAAAAATTATGTGACGAGTATTTTAACTTTACAGTTTGACCCACATCCCATCTGTTATCATTGAGGAGGCGGGGCTTATGACCTATACTGCAGCCAATTATCAATTATCAATAATTATGATATCATATTGGGTAGGTTGTGGTGGCTGGCTTGGATTATTGGGTGGGTTGCACCACACCACCACACATGTATAGAGACCCAGAAGTGATGATTGAGCAGCTTTACTTTAGGATAAGTCCATATGTCTATACTGTTTCTTTAAAGTTCCCTTTAATTCTTAACGTGTTCATAAAGGGGTGTTTATTCGGTTTTAAACACCTCACTGTCTGATGAAATTATGCTGTGTGGTCTCCTCCAGGAAGTTCTCTCTGGATGATCTGCTGACTAACGTGATGATCTATTGGACGTCTGGCTGCATCATCTCCTCCATGAGGTTCTACAAAGAAAACTTCAGCCAAGGCCTCGACCAGCCTCACTCAAAGTAGGTGACCACCCAGGGTTATAGCTTTTTGATAAAGTTTATGATTTTACAGGTTTGGTCCCTAAAGTTTCACATCCACTCTCACTGAAATAAGTAAGTGTAGCGGTCGAAGCAGCAGAGTCCTCTATACGACGCTTTAATGGGAATATCAGACTTTATCTTTAACATAAAACATAATGCAGCAGTTTGATAACATGCATGGAGATTGTAGCCGTGGCGTGGAGACAGTCTATAAACTGACTCCAGTCAGAGTCTTTCTGGAGTTTTCTGCAAGTGTGAAAGCCTTACATGTCTGCTCTGCTGGAAGGAAAATGGGGTGAAAGGTGATTAGGTTCTATATTAACAAAAGAATAGTTTTCTGCATGATCTGTAAAAACATTTTGTATGTGGTTGCGTTGTTTGTTGATATATCTGTAACCCATATCAACCAATGATATCAACAGACCGGTATTTATTGGTCAGGGTCTTTAAGCAGTGTTTTCTATTATATCAGAGGTTAGTGAGCTCTCGGGAGTATTATCTGCATACATGTAAATCACATCTGTACAGGTTACAACATCACCTCTTTAAATCTAAAGCAGACACCTGATCTTTATTCCCCCCCCCCTCGCCAGGATACCTGTACATGTCCCCACTGGCTTCGCCTGCTTCCCCAATGAGCTGATGCACACTCCCAAACTCTGGGTCAAACAGAAGTATAGGAAACTCGTGACCTTCACACACATGGCCCGCGGTGGCCATTTTGCTGCCATGGAGGAGCCCCAGCTGATGGCCGAGGACATTCAGAACTTCATGAAGACAGTGGAGAAGAAGAAGAAGAAGAAATAATGACTGGAAACTATTAAGCAGATGGAAAGAAGTAGGTTTCGGTGGAGAGCAAGAAGTAGACAAGAGAGAGTTGTGATTCTTTAAAAGTGAGGTAAGCGATACGTTTCTCTCTGTGTTGGATTCAATGATCAAGTAAAGCTCTGTTTTGATTATTCCTAGTCATACTTAATCAATATTAAGACCATGTATAAGCAGAATAAAACATAACTTGGCCAGTGAGAGCGAAAGCATTATTCATGATTAATCATGTTGGCCACAAATGTTCAAAGCCTCTAGTATGGATTGAACAGGTATTGAAGTTGTGGTACTGTACTGTGGGATTTAATTTGGAGCCATATCACCTGTCCTAAAATTCAAAGCTTTGTGTTGAATAAAGTCAGGAAAGTTCACTCTGTCTCTCCTGCTGATCTGCACAAGATTTTGGTCGTACCTGAATATTCCTTCAGCCTTGCAGTCGAACATTTCCTGAGCAGCAGCAGATGGGAGGGAGGGGGCGTGTTGTTCTGACAGCTGAGACAAGGGACCAAGCATTTTTCTGACTCAAACTACAAACATGGCTGCCACACTTTTGCTCGAAACCTTTTTAAAGGTCACGTTATACAAAATACACTTCACCATGTTTTTCTAACACTAACATGTGTCTCTAGTCTGTCTACAAACCCCCCAATGATGAGAAAAGTTAATCCTCTCTGTCTTTTGCCTGCTCCACTTTTCAGAAAATGTGTGCTCAAACAGGCTGTTTGGAGATTTTCCATTCATGACATCACAAAGGGCAGTAACCCCTCCCCCAGGTGGCTGACACTCCCACAGCTAGGTGTTTGTTCTGCCCTCTGAGTCTGCCTTCTCATCGTAAACAATAGGACATGGAGCGAGAAAGTCAGAGACACCCAGGCCCTTCCAGAGAGGGTTGTGGTCAGACACAGCTCATTTACATATTTAAAGGTACAGACACAGAAACAGCCTGTTCAGAGCAGGGCTGAAATAGAGAGGTTTATAGGCATGATCAAATACAGGATCAGAGTGGATTTAGAACAAGAAACTTCACACACATGTTTTGAGGAGCTCTGAGAATTATTTAAACTGGTTGAAGAGGAGGAGAATATGTGTCCTTTAATAATTTTTTCTTTTCAGAGTATTTTAAACTTATTTTAAAGTCATGGTCGCAGTTTCACGGTCACATGTATTCTGTTACTACAGACAGTATATAAGAGGGGGGTTTAAAAAGTGCCTTACACCCACATGCTCAGCAGAGCGTGACTGAAATGTTTTAAACCAGTAGGTGATGTCCCGATCGCTATGACTAGTGTGTGTTAACAAACAGTTGAATACAAGCTGCTGCCTGGATCACGGTGACCTTTAATTGATCTGCCCATGTTTGTAACATGCAGAGTTACGTGTATCTAATCAGTTCACTTTGATTTGCTACGAAGAGTAGGAGCACTGCTTACTCACCTAAATGTCAACCCAGTTTAAACATTATGCTGAGCTTTTTTTTTTTTTCAGTACATATTGATTCAAAGTGTTTATTTTGGGGCCTTTTATGCCTTTATTTATAAATAGAACAGGCTACAGGTGCCCCGGATACATATTCATTTTATATGTAGTGATCATGAAGGCAGAGTTGAATCATTATCAGTGCTACTCATGTTGAAGAAGTGTAATACAATATGTAATGCTGTTTGACATGTTGTTTTCATAGGATGATTATATGTTGTGATAAAATGAGCAGTCGACGACATTTCATTTCACACAAGTGACTAAATTGAATTTGTTCTTGTTATGCTTAGATGACCAGAAGGATGTTTTCTTGCTCAGACTTTGACATGTTTGTTCTGTTGTGGACCAAATAAAATGTACACTGAGTACTGTTCTGTTTTAATGATCTGCCTAATTTTTTTTATGTATTGTAGCATGTCCTGGACATGCAAAAAGGGGTGAATAACTTTACTATAGCTAACAGAAGCTCACCACCCATTAGTCTACTCTTTCCTAGAACTAAGTGAGAACTCACTCCCTACCAGCCGCTAGTCTACTCTGTCCTAGTACCTGGAGCTATTAAAATTACTCCACTAACACCCTTTGGAAGAGAAAGGACTTATTATAATCACATAGCCCTAAGATTATCTGCCTAACATTCATTTCTAGAATAATTAGATTCAAGAATAACCCCTGGTACAGGACTCTAGATTACCCCCCGGAGAGGGAATAACTGTAATCTAGGATGTTAGGTGTGTATGAGGTGTGTAGTAAAAGTCAGTAGAAGTGTGCCGTGGTGTGACTGCTCAAGCTTACCTTCCGAGGTTCACAGGGTCCTTAAGGGAGACTCCGGTCTTTGTGGTGTAAATGATTTCAGTCAGAAAATGATTTCAAAAAGTTTCCGAAGATTTATTAAAAAACTTCAAATGATATTCCAAATGCAAATACAAAACAGTAAAAGTAAAAATATAAAAATGTAAAAAATAAAAGCAAAACACAAAGACCAAAGTCTAAACCCGAGAGTGTAGACACTTAAGGTTTTACAAGATCTTGGTCTCAGAGACTAAGTCCCCAAAATGGGGATACAAAAAGTCAGAGTGACGTAGAGTCCTTTAGAAATGCAAAAAAAAAACCCGATAAGCTTTTCAACAGCCTTTTTCTAGCCAGATGGTCTCTTTTTTCCAAAATTCTGTAAAACCTCAACAATTCATATTCGCAGAAACATGATACATCCACAGTTGATACCAAGTTCATATGTGTTTTTAATGTCAAAGCATACAAGGTAACACAGGTGATACTAAGTTTGTGGTTTTAGCTTGAAGACCGTGAACCATGCAGATTCGCAGAAACGCTATACACCTACGAGCTCGTATGTGGTTTTGCTCAATGTATGGCACACTTATCCTGACCTCACAGGTGCATAGGCACCGCGGGTGTGTAGGATTGACAGGAAATATAAAAGCCAAAAAAAACAAAAGTCGTAGCGACTGTATGGATAGGCCGGGTCTTTGTAACATAACAATGAGTAAGGTCTTTTACCTGCTTTTTGTAACATAACAATGAGTAAGGTCTTTTTACCTGCTCTTTTGTGATGTTAACAGACAAAGAGTAAGGTATTTTACCTGCTTTTTGTAAAGTGTCTTGAGATAACACTTGTTATGAGTTGACGCTATACAAAATGAATTGAATTGAATTGAATTATGGCATAAGAATGAAATGATAAAAAGATTAAATGATAATAAAAGAAAAAGAACATATATGGTAAAAACAAATTCAACAATTGCATAACTCTTTCTGATCTTTCAACACCCTCTCTTGCACATTCTTGAATTTGTTCGTCAAACGCATAAAACATACTAAACTATAAATCAAAAAATCATAAACAAATCAAAAATCAAACCGGAAAACAATAACACCAAAAATCACTCATCAAATCCGGTTTAACAAAACAAGAAATGAAAAGCAGTAACAAATCAAAATAACAAATCAAAAGGCAGAACGTAAGTCAATAATAACAAAATGACTTATAGCTTTAAAAAAAACAAAAGTCGTAACGACTATATGACATATAGAATGAAATGATAAAAAGATTAAATGATAATAAAAGAAAATGAACATATATGGTAAAAACAAATTCAACAATTGCATAACTCTTTTTGATCTTTCAACAGTATGCATGGCAACAACATGTACATTGGCAAGATGACCTTAAAGAAGGAGTCAGTAGAAATGTTTGTTGCAGCTTGTAAACGCAACTTTCAAACTGGGCCCCTCCTCCTGGGCTCATCGCCCCCTCCAGAAGCTCACACTCACTGCAGGACGTAGTGCATACGTTTACTGCTTGTACCTACACTGCAAGCAACCGCACGCTAACACAAGCTAACCGCAGGTGTTTGCACCTGCCTGTCCAACAGGAAAGGGAACATCTCCACGTCTGAGGGTGAAAGACGACACAAGATTCACCCTTGTTTCAGAACGAGCTTTAGCTGCCTCACTATGATTATACTTTCTTTTTGCCGCTACACCCATGTCTGGCATATTCGCAGGTAGGAAATCGCACCCAATTGCTGAACTGTTTCCACTCCTAAACTCATCTGAGCGCTATCATTGGCTGGAGGAAACACAACAACTCCCCACCCAGAACCAGCCAGAGTCAACAAAAGCAAACCAAAACATCAAAATCCAGTCAGAGGACAAAGTCTCTGCAGACTCAGTCACCACCAGTGTGTGTGTGTGTGTGTGTGTGTGTGTGTGTGTGTGTGTGTGTGTGTGTGTGTGTGTGTGTGTGTGTGTGTGTGTGTGTGTGTGTGTGTGTGTGATGTGTAAAACAGGTTATTAAAGTCTCTGCATTCAAAAAGTATTTATTATATGACAAAAACACAGTAATATAAGATCACTTATTAAGATTAATGCCTTTTATATGTAGCTACATGTTTTGTTTTTTTAAGTGCATCAAGAACCATATGGACCTGAAAGAAAATATCGGTGCACTTCTGCCTCTAGTGGTCAGAAATGAGAATGACGACACACATTTTCCAGAGTATATCTCCTGACCTATAGCAAGTACATGAAACTCCTTTCTCAAAGAAGATAATTAATACTATTTATCCAACATAAATTAATGTAATAATATATATATAAATGCTTGTATGTATAACAGAGTTGTAAGCTGTGCAGCAGCTTTAAAAAGAAAACCGTATTCATGATTAGTTGTCGTAACGTTGGAGAAAAAAGCTCCGTTGGTTGTCTTTCAGAGCGGACTGGTTGAAGTGCTCTGCAAACATTATGAAGGGTTGAGAGATTGAGTCACATTAGAGTCGTTGGATGAGATGTTGTTACCATCTGGAAAAAAACAAAACACAGCAACAAAATAAAGTGTTTAGTCGTTGGCCAAAAAGGAAAGAAAAACAATTGATACTAAAACAAGTCCACAGACTTCCCAGCTCCTTGTGAGGCTAAACCTTCGCCGTAGTGCTACTGCTTGGTGCTCATAGTGATGAGCTTTCTTTATTTCAATGACAAATCTACAACAATCTGAATGATACTCAAAATAACAGCTCGGGCTCTCATTGCTAGGACCCGACCAATATGGGAATTTTGGGGCCAATATCAATATGGGGGAGACAGAACATCCGACACGGATATATTGGCTGATACCTTTCTTAGATCGATCTTCGATTCGCAGAGATAGATATACACTTATATTGCGTTGATCCCTCAAATTCAGTTATCAAACACAACTGGAAAGTAACTGTGCATTTACGTCTATCAATGGTTGACACCAGAAAAGTGTGCTAAATGGATTACAACAAGCATCATCACTCTACAGCCAGAAAGAGAACTGCTAGTGTAATGCACTTAAACTCAAATGAAATGCTATTTAACTGGTGAATAAAGCTACAAATATCAGCGCATTATGCGATCAAATTAGCCGATACCGATAGTCACTTGATGTGCGATTAATCGGTCGGGCTCTAATTATTGCCTTGAGTCTGTAAAATGATCCTGCCTTTATGTGGGACAGGCATCAATACGAGATGGGCCTTTAATCGTAAACAAAACTTGTGCAATGCAAAGGTAGGACACTACTCAATTATAAATTTACCAAGGGAAGAATATTTAGCTGTGCACAAAATCAGGATACCACTAAACTAATGGAATCAAAAATCATGAATTTGATCTAGCTTTGTAAAGCGGCCCATGTCTGTCGACCTGCTGCACTTTGGGAGAGAGAGAGAGCGCTCTTGATATAATCACTACCGAGTGCTGTGCTGGCTTGTGGAGCTGTGGAAACACATCAGATTGTCTTTAGTTGTTTAAAGCAGATGACTATAAACCGAAAGTTGGCCGGAAAAAATGTCACCAGTTGGTTGCACCAAATGAATAAACAGAGTAGCTATACTGAAAAATATGAATAAAGGTGTGCCACAATTTGGGCAGTCTCTCTGATACATGTTGAGGTATTTCACTGGATCAGAAAAACACCTTAACCTGCTTATTGGCTACAGGGCCCCAACACAGTATTTGGAAATGAACTTTAAAATACAAAACTTTCTGAATATCTATCCAAGTATTGTTTAATTTCAGCCCTGTTTGTGGGTAATTAATGTAAAGGAACGCCTCACAGGTGTATGCCGCTATCAATCAGTTAAGTTGTAGTTTACACATGTTGTTCTCATGGGTGTAAACATTGGATAACAGAATTAAATATGTACCAGGTAAGATAAAACTCCCTGTGAATCGCCAAAAATGGACGTTGTACTGGACTCAGTGGACTTACTGTACATTTGTCACTATGGTCATAATATATTTTTTGTAGGCCTAGACATGAGTTATATGGGTACCAATGTTCATACATGTAGACTAAATGCAATTCAGGGGCTGTACTTTAGGGGGCGCTGCCAAGCCACTTTGCGCCACACGTACGAAAACACTATCACACGTACATTTTATGCTTTCTTGAATTTTGTGCAAAGTTTCAGGCATTTTGAAGCTCTCAAATAAGCGATTTATTTGTGACAAGAATAACAACAACTCCTACAGTTTCAATAGGGTCCTTGCACCCTACAGTGTGTGCTTGGGCCCTAAAAATGTACCTGGACATAATGTCTTCACTTTATCATTTTATGCTGCTGATCCTTTGTATAGTTTTGTAATTCTTAGCGTAACTCTACTTGAGATATAACTATTGAACTTCTACCAAAGTCAGATAAGGTCGTCATTTGAGTCCAGACGGAAGTTTATGCTCAATTTAAAGATATTCGTTCCAGCTGCTACTTAGATATCACACTCACAAGAATAGGATAGACGGACTAATACAGAGAAAAAAAGTTTAGTTTCCGACCGTGGCTTTTGACCGAACTGAGGCATTGTGAAAACACTACAGAAGCATTGAGACAGAGCTTTTTTCTCTTTTTTGAAATTACTGCTTTACCTCTTCCTTGTCTCCAGAGCCGGAGAAATCCAAATGCACTCGATGAGTTTCCAGCACTGGTGCTCTAAAACAAGAATAATTGTAAACAAAGAAATTAGTAACCCCAGTATTTCCATCAGCTTTGAAAAATGACAAAATAAATAAAATATCTTACACTGGTGCCACTTCCGGATATCTGTGACTTTATTGCTATTTCTGACCGCACCTGAAAAAATTAATCGTCAACAAATTAGCTTGGTTCTTGAAAGCTCCAAAAGTCTGATGTTGCAATAAAACATGTTTGTAAAAGGGCAACTTCTAAGATGAAATGCAGTTCAGTAAGCGGCAGATTTGAACTGTGACTTATTTATGGTTGTAGCTCACTGATGGGTGGAAAAGGTTGACATATAAACCAGAGCTGATATGCTAGCTGACAAATCAGTCTTATTATTGTATACATATTACTTGGCTCTGTTGAATATTGTTAAAAGTCACATATTATGTAAAACACTTCTCCATGTGTTTCTAACACTGATATGTGTCCCTAGTCTGTCTACAAACCCCCCAATTATGAGAAAAAGTCCATCCTCTCCGTCTTTTGCCTGCTCCACTTTTCAGAAAATGTGTGTTTGGAGATTTTCTCTTCATGACATCACAAAGGGCAGTAACCCCTCCCCCAGGTGGGTGACACTCCCACAGCTAGGTATTTGTTCTGCCCTCTGAGTCTGCCTTCTCACTGTAAACCATTCATAGCTTTCAGTCACATAACCAGCGCAAGCACGGATTAAGAAGGCAGAGGCCCCTGGCCAAAAATTGGCCTCTTGGATGCTGGTCTGGTTCAAATTGATGAAGAGAACTATAAAAGTTGGTGACTGCTGCGTCAACATTACCGTCCTCTTCGCTATCCATTTTAGCATCATTGCGATGCTCTTTGCTAGCAAGCTGACTTTTGAAAAAAGTTGAGATATTCTGTATGTTTTTCCTTATTTCAATTTCTCTAACTTGCTTTTCGTTCTTGGCCTTTCTTTTTTCTGCCTCACTGAGCCACCATTTCTTATCCATGTTTGTTCTTTGTTTTTAGCAGCTGATATTAACTTAGTTTCACACTTAAATTAATGCCGGTTGTTCCCTCTCTTTTTCCGCGAACTAACGGTGGGTCACCGTCCTCGGCTTCACCATCATGACACAGACACAGCCAGCAAACCAATCATAACTGTTTTCTTATTTTCACATAAAGTAACTTTGCATCCATTTCAACACACACATTATCTTTTTATTTATAAAAAATAAATTTAAAAAAGGCCCCTAGTGGTTGGAGGCCCCCGGGCACCAGCCCAATTGGCCCGGGGGATAATCCATGCCTGGACCAGCGTGGAGGGCTGGAGGGCAAAAATGTTGAAACACTGTAGAACCACAGCGTTAGGACACTTTCAGTCGCGTTTGTTTGAAAGATATCAGTTAACACGGTCACTTTTTTAATCTGACTCTAGGTTGTCAGTAGAGGTTACCAAAGGTTGGACGAATTGCTCTGTTGAAGACTTTTTGTTTACTTTGATTTGTTTTTAAATCAGGTGTCATAGTTCTTAAGCTGCCCTCCAGGTATTTTTTTCCCCTGATTAAAGCGTCTGCTAACAGCACGCAACGCTACGCAAGCGAGTGTCAGCAGCGAAATCAGCTTAAATATGTTATTTACTCTTGGAGTGTTCTAACTGCCTGCGAGACGCCCCGCTTCTTTTCCCCTCTCTGTCGCTCGTGTAGGTGAGGAGGGGGCTCTGACACTCGCTTTCCTCACTCAAAGAGCTTGTTAGCTTGTTTTACAAAGTACGGTACATTAATTAAGATGATACTTTTATTGATCCTCGCAAGGGGAAATTTCAGTTTTTACACTGTAAGTCATGCAACACACACACATGCACAAACAGGATCCTATGGACATGCACTAATGATGAAATGTCAGAGTGACGGATCTGCCCACAGCGGGTGCTCCTGAGCTGGTAGTGGGGAGGGGGTTTGGTGCCTTATTCAAGGGCACCTCGGCAGTGCTCAGGAGGTGATCTGGCACCGCTCCAGCTACCAGACCAACTTCCATATTTGGTCTGCACCGGGACTTGAACCGGCAACCCTCCGGTTCCCAACCCAAATTCTACAAGCTCACATCACATTCTACAAGTTCTCACATCACATTCTACAAGTTCTCAAGTCACATTCTACAAGTTCTCACATCACATTCTACAAGCTCTCACATCACATTCTACAAGTTCTCACATCACATTCTACAAGCTCTCACATCACATTCTACAAGCTCTCCTATTTTGCAACATATCTGCCTTCATAGATGTGTCTTTGTTAAATAAATTCTGTTATAATTTATTAGAGCAGTTGTTTGTGATTACTGATGTATTTGCATTGTGAAATAAGCTGGGTGCGAGGGCTTTGTGTACGGATTTCACGCCTTCAATTTATTAAATACAGTTATTAATTATTTATAATATTAGTAATTCATTAACTAATTTGAGACTGAATTTAGTGATATTTGGTTATTTGTACTCTGATCTCAGAATGGTGCTCCCCAAGTTAATTAAACGTAGTTTAATAATATTGTTATTTATATGAATTAATAATTAAATAAGTAAAGTAAAGTATAAATAATATAACCAAATTTGACTAGATAAAACCCCAACAACAGCGAGCGTGAGATCATGCGCGATGCATCGCGATATCTACTGTTAGGACACGGTGTTGGGCTTAGAAAAATTAGACTTAATCAGATCTCTAGTTTATCTAATAACAAAACCACATGTATAACTACTATTGTCAAAATAACTATGTATCTCAGGAAAAAAAAAAGTAAAATAAAAAGTTTCGGCAGCTACAGACTCGACTTGACTTTGATTGACGAATACTAATCTCTTTGGAGATTCTGTTGTTGTCAATGTATTACCTGCACATGTTGCAGTGCACATTTTGCAATGATAGGGAAAAAAGCAAAGGAAAACTATATTTCAGAATGTTTTCATCTAGTATTTAACCGTGCAATTAAATACAAATGTGAATATTGAGTCGTAAATACCTTTTTGTCCAGCAGCAGTCCAAACACCAATATGAAGAAACCCTTTAAGGACAAAAGCACACAGTGGCATCACAAGGCTTTAATGACAAAACACACACTCATAATTCAAAATACATCAAAAGCGTTAGAATTATACAGAATGTCACACAGTTATGTTTAACTATAGTATTCATACCTGCAGTGAATTGAAGAATGAAAAAGCAATGTGGATGCCTTGATTTTCTGGGTCGGCCAGGGTTCCAATTCCCAGACCCCAAGTTAATCCAAATAATGGTGTGAGGACAGCCAGGGTCCTTGCAATAAGCAATAAAACATTCCTCTGACCTGCTTGGGCAGAGTCTGTCACTGCCCTTCTCCTCAGCATTTTGAATAATACCACAATCAAGACGATGAGGTTAAACAGCACTATCGTCAGAGCAGGCAACACAAAGGCTATTATGGTGAAGGACCCTGTAAAGTTGAGCCAGCAGAATTTACCTTGTTTGTACCTTTCACTGGGTGCAGTGGCAGCTATAGTTATGACCGCAATGATAATAGGCCCTCCGTAGCCTACAGAGAATCCAATAGCCAGCATAGATCTTTTGGACAAACCTCCAACAATGACACTGACTGTGCGGTAAAGCAACAGAAGAGCTAAGGCTAACATCCAGAAGAACATGGCTAGGTAGAAAAAATGGATGAAAAATGTAGCTGCAGAGCATGCGTCACGGTTATCACCCGATGCTTTTGAAATAGAAGCCCCTATGATAAACCAAATGTCTGCAATCAGGAGAGACACGGCGATGTTAACAATGGAGACATGACGCAGGTAAGATGTGGTGTTCCTTCTAATTTTTCTCCATATGACAGCCTCAATTATTAAGCATATGACCAAGGAGGCCATGGATATGCCAACTCCAATAAATGTTATCAGAGAACACACTTCGCAGTTAACGAAGGGCGACATAAGGATGGAGAAGGAGGTCAGGTGGTTGCAGTTGCAGGTGACGCTTCCATTTTTAATTTCTACAAGCATACAGCCTTCGTTGTCCCATCCCCCCCGATCATCAAAGAGGCTGAAGTTCCAGAATACACACTGTGGGTCCACCAGTGAAGGGTTATTGAGGTTAAATGTAAAGGAAATATTAATGGGGCTGTTTCCAATGCTGGTCTGAACAAGAACGACTCTCCCATTGATGTCAAATCTGGAGGAATTTGCTTCGTCTCTCGCAGGGAGAACGTTATCCATTGAAGCAAATGTCATCACAGTGATATTCTTCTCTCCTTCACCAGGTTCTGATATAACTATCGTCACTGAAGAATTAAAGCTGGCATTGAAAGAGTCTGTGAATGTAGTTTTGTTTAAGAGAATAGAAGGTGTGTCAATTGCTAAAGAGACATCATTAATGAGACCTGTTATAGTCTCCAGTGACTGCAAGAATGTGAAGCTTCTTTTCGTCTGTGAGGCATTTCTTGTGTCATTGTTCAGGGACTCCCAGGTTTCCCTTGCACCATCTGTGGTGAGGACACCTGCAGTGAGAAGGATATCCTGCATTGATAGGAAAGGAGACATTAGACCATGTAAAATGTAAAGTATACTGTTACATAAAGTAAACCTCACCCTTCTTGTTCACATACCTCTGCTAAGTCACTATTAATAGGTATGGATGTATTTGCAACATTGCTGAGTATATCAACAATGGCATTTATGTTTGTGGGAGATTTAACCACTTCCTCAGTGAAGCTGACGGTGACATCGCTGAGTGTGTCCAAGAAACCTGGCAGTGAATTGGCATCCAACAACTGTGAAATTTGAATGAAAAAATATCATTAATGTTAAAAGTATATCAAGAATGAACATTGAAGTGATGTCAAAGTTGTTGTTATTATTAAAGACAGCTCTAAATGTTTTTCTGTTGGGAGGAAAGCCATAAAAATTGACTAAGGGCGCCCTCACACTAGGCAATCCGTACACACGGTACATGTTCTTGGCCTTGGCACGGTTGGAGGAAGTGTGCTTTGGCTAAGTACAGTTGCACAACCACGGGCAGGAAACGTAGACGGGCAACTACACAATCCTACTGCAAGTGCATATGAGTGGAACAGACTCAGTTTTTGCAATTCGAAGAAGTAATGTCTTGGCACAGTGCAAGTCGCAGAGTTTAGGTGAGTTTTGAACAGGACCATTTGAGCTCTGTTCATCCTCTTTATATAACACAGGAGAGATGTAAAGACAGTTTTATTGTATCTGTCTGGTTTAAATCTAAATTCATCTAAATGTTTTCTTCACTGTACTCTCGTTACTTTTGGTGCACTGCAGTCCTGTATAAAAGCATGCTTCTAGACTGTAAGTATTTCACTGCAAATGTGAATTATAGTTTGAATTATAGTGTAACGACCCTTTCACCAGAACACTAAGAGTCTTTGGCTTGCTGCTGTTTGTCTGTACAGTATGTGTGATTGCTGCAGGAGGTGTGTCCTGGCTGGAGGCTCATTGGCAGGATAAACTGCACCTGGGCCTGGTGCACCCTGGCCTACAAAGTAGGACTGGAAAATTAATTGAAAATTACTCAGAACCTCTCACCGACAGAATCTTGACGATTATTTAGATTATTTTCAGGGCAGGGTAATGTGACGATACGTCCAATCTGTGACATAGATGCAGTGTCCGTCGTTTGGATACATTTTGTCACCGGACAAATAGAAGTCGAATGTTAACACTGCAGTAAAACTGTTTGCAAGAAATGCAAGTTATTTATTTTCTACTGTTTTACAGAAGTTCATTTATACTTAAAAACTAAAATGTGTCGTTTTCATTTCAAGCGATGCTTTGATTTCAGTTCCAAATAATTGTTAGTGCAATCTTCTACACCTCACACCACATCATAATTTCACACACATCCACACGTTCACCACTGAAGATACAGATTAAACACGCCTCAGAACTCTTATTATTGATTATTTATAATAAACTATTTGTTTTCTTTGGTAAACTTCTTCTAAACTTGTCTTTTGCCATGACCCATAAGCCGACTTATGACAATGGGTATGTGAAAAGTAGTTTGGTGTGCACCAGTACAGCAGAGTCTTGACACCTGTATTTGCAAAATAAATATCAATACATTTATATTCAGGAAGTATATAGCCAACTGTCACACTAGCAGCTGAATGAAGCACCCTTCATCAAGGCGTAGGGTATAAATACACAGGCTTTGGGAAAAACATCCCTCTCTTCGCTGGAAACAGGAACTGTGTGTTACTATGGTTTCTCAACGGCATCTCGCGGGAGCAGCAGTTAATGCCTTGATCCACCAGTGATCAGAAAATGAGCGGATTAGATCTTCCAGAAAACGTAGGTGTTTAAGGCGTCTTTTATTCTTGATATACCAGCAAAGGTGCGCCTTTTTTTTGTAGCTAATGCATTCTGTAAAAATCTTTATGTAGATTCTTCTTACACTCATATTAGTGTAAACTGTGAATTAATAATAATCTTTATACAGTCTATGATTTAGACTAATAACTCAATTATTAGATGAAGCCTTCTTTCTTTATTGTAATTTAATTGTAATGTCATAGAACAGGTTGTCCTAAATTAATGCAAAGACAAAGATAATACAGTTGAAGCTCAGACGTCGTTGTGGTTCTACAATAATAGTTTTAGAAAAGAAAAAGTTACCAGTAGCCTGATTTTTGTGACAAAGGCTGGAGCAGCAAGGAGTTTGCTTGAGGCCCCCAAATTATTATTATTAAAAATATGTTGTGTCAGCATGTGCTGGTAAATTCCTCACGTCAGACTGCAGGAGCAGCTCCTGAACCGGTCCTAGGATACAGTTGTTTTCAACTTCTCTCCATGATCCATCTTCCTGACAAACTCCTTTCCTCTCTCCCACCTCGTCACGTTCACAGGAACCGACGGCCATCTGGCCAAGATTTCCAGTACCAAATACATCATCTTCACAAACAGGATCTAGGAACAAAGAAATGAATGAAACAACATTACTTTCAAGGGAAGAAAAATATTTTGATCTGATCTGTATTTCATTCCCTTTAATCAACACTTACCTCCTGTAGTTATCTCCAGCGTAGTTCGTTTTGATTCTTCGTGGCCGAACACTTGACAGGTGAATGTATGTTCCATGTCGTCACAGTTGATGGTAATATTGTAGCTTATATTAGATTTACCTGTGCCTAAGACTGCAAGAATTCAATTTATTAATATGAATATAAAATATAAAAGATTAGCCTTTTGGTGTTTGTTTGGTTCAGGCTTACCTCCAGTCGAGTTTCTTAACTCAACAGTGTAGGGTTCGTTGACAGAGCACTCTATTTTCACTTCTCTTATGACCTCACAATGGATTTGTCTGCTGAGCGGCGTCAGTTGTATCAGAGGTTGCTCTTGGAGTGTAAAGTTTCGATTGGATCTCTCTCTGAAGATTTTCTGGCCAGACTTAAGCCTACATTCATATTGACCTAAAAATCAAAGGGGATTTAAAGTTAATGTGAAGTAGCAACACCGGGTTTGGAAATGGAAACAATCTGAAGCAGCATTCATGTAGTGACTTTTAATGTCCTAATGTTCTAACCATACTTTTCCTCCATCGATGTATTGGAAAGGTCTTAACGCATTTCTAAAAGATAAAGAAATGTCCTAAATGAAATGACTTTGAGTGGTGTTCCCGTTTATTGCGAAAGGTGAAACAGACAAACTGTGATGATGATATCATGAATGATTGTTGCAGACATTGTAATTGTTCGCTGACATTCGGTTACTAAGGTTGACGTTTGTTCCCACCAAGCGACGACCTCCGGTGTTGAAAAATGAAGCCATTGCAGAACTTCAAAATCCTGCAGTTCCTTAAGTGTCCACTTGAGGCTGGCTGCAGAAGCATCAGAAGTCACATACACACCACATGCAAAAAACTAACATGTTTACAGCCTGGTACAAAAATGAAATAGGTCTGATTAGTTTTTGTCCTCACTAGAACGCACTGTACGAGGGGGGGGGGGAATTTTTTATTACATGTGTAATAAGGCAGAAGTTATTTTCTGATATTGCACATTCTTCTACGCATGCTTTGATACTTTGGGTTTTATTCATGTTGTGATATTTACGATTTGGTTTTATTTGATTGCCATTGCTGTGTTTTTATCAATACTCTTGGTTTTATGCTTGTGTTATACGAGCGGGGTGTGTCTGTCTGTGAATGGCTTAGTGCGCATGTGTGTGGGTGGGAGGAGCGAGAGAGGAGAGAGGGAAAGCGAGGCGAGAGTGTGTGTGTTCGGCGGGTATGTGGTGAGAGGCACGTTGTGATAGCGGAGACCGGAGCAGGAAGGTTAACATTTAAGTCAGGGGTCTCAAACTCAAACTGGCATGGGGCCACTGGGAGTACTGTCGACTTAAAGGAGGGCCACTACAAAGTTCAAGCACCACAAAAAGGACTTTATTTTTGCAAATGTACTTTTTGTTTCTGCAAAATTTTGTCACACATCACTATTACAAACAGCAGTTTATATACATTTTTCAAAACATCTGCTTTCATTTAGTAGTGCAAGTCTTTTGTGTTTGCTTTATAACTTAAATAACTAAAATAACTTAATCAAATAATAAATAAAACCTGCACTGAACCAAAAAATGCAGTTACTCAAAATACCAATACATTATTCCTGCATTATATTTCTTGCCAGACACCTGGCAGCGCTTCTGCTCACACAGCTGAGCCACATTTACCTTGATGGAGGTCACAGTTGAAACCCTGAGTACAGCTTCAAGGTGTGCATCACTAAGCCTGGACCTGTACTTGCATTTATTAAAGTTCATTGTCGAGAGTTTCTCACACAGATATGTGCTTCCAAAAAGGCACATTACACGACTGGACAATTTGGATAGCTCTGGGGGGAAGGATGCAGGTAATTCTCTTAGAAACTGTCCAGTCAGGTCTGCCTTCCCCTGTACCTCTCTGAATTTATTTTTCAGTTCACTGTTACACTGCAGGTCAACAAGTTCCATTTGCAACACACTTGGGACACTCTCAACATCAGCTGAAAAGGGGTCTGCAAATACCTGGAAAGTGACCCGGTGTTCCTTGAAGTCAGCAAAACGCTGATCAAACTCCTGCAGAAGATTGTCAATAGCAGAGGCATATTCATCACCTCTGTACCAGCGCTACTAGTCCGTTTTTTTTGCCTGTCATGGACGGGGCTCCGTCAGTGGTGATGCCAACCAGTCTATTCCATGGCAAACCCGCGCGCTCAATCGCGTCAGAGAGCTGCTGAAAAATGTCCTTGGCTGTAGAGCGGCCGTGCATTGCGCACAAACTCATCAACTCTTCAGTCACTTCGAATTGGTCATTAATACCCCTGATGAATATGAACAGCTGGGCAGTGTCTGTTTTATCCGTGCTTTCATCAAGCGCCACAGAGTATGCAGTGAAACGTTTTACTCTGTCACATAATTGGTCATAAATGTCACTTGATAAACTGCTAATCCGCTCTGCCACAGTGTTTGCCGATAGAGAAATATTGTTGAACAAACTCTTCTTTTCTGGACACAGAATGTCAGCAACTTGCAACATGCACTCCTTCAGAAACTGTCCTTCCCTGAATGGTTTCCCCGTTCTGGCAATTAATTCACTCAACACGTAACTTGCTTCAACAGCAGCATCGGCCTCCTTCTTGGATTTGTGGAAAAGACTTTGCTGAGAAAGAAGTCCTCTCTGTAGCTGCGTGGCACGTTGTTTCCTCTCCTCTCCCTGGTACTTTTCATACTGCTCTCCGTGTTTAGTGCAGTAATGACGCTTGAGATTGTACTCCTTTAAAACGGCAATTCTTTCCTGACATATCAGGCAGGTTGCATGTCCACTAAACTCCACAAAAAAATACTGTAATGTCTATCGTTCTTGAAACTGTCTGTGTTCATTGTCAACTTTCCTTTTTGACTTAGAAAGCGACATCTTGGTCGTAAGCAGCCAAACAACAACACAACACTTTTGCGCCAACTGCTCTCACTCCGTGAACCTCTCTGGGCATGTGCGGTCACCTTTGGCCTTTGACTTACAACCTTGTCAAAATATTTTTTATTGAATTACTTTTTTTTTTTTTGAATTTCATAAGAAATTGTATTTTTAATTAGCATGAAGAAACAAAAAAATAAAATAAATTCATTTAATTAAAAAAAAAATTTGTGGGCCTGACTACATTATGTTTTTAACGTGCGGCGCGGGCCGGGAATTGGGGGGAGGGGGGCCGTAAATGCCCCGCGGGCCAGCAGTTTGAGACCTCTGATTTAAGTGTATGTACAGTTCAAGCTCTGCGAGCATAATAAACGGTCCGGAAGCCCAAAATAACAAGCCGGACTCTCCGTTGTCTGTTTACACCTTGCTGCACCCCAGTGAAGTGACGGGGGTTAGCCCCGAAGTTGAGAACCACGACTTCGGCAGAAGTGGAGCAGATAAATAAGTCTCCCCTGTGCGAACTGACCACGGTTGGAACGCGGAGCAGGAAGGTTAACACTTGTTTTTATATTGAGTTAACTTTCTGCCTTTGGGAGACTGATGACAGATTACCTGCATCTGTGTAGCTTTGTTTTATTTCATGCTCAATGAGAGCAACAACATAGCTGCTTTGTCCAATCGGCGGCAAAGGGGAGGGTCATACACAAGAAACACGGAAGAAAAAACAGGAAGAAATCAGAGGAGAGAGAGACAGACGAGAGGCAGATTAGGTGAACGAGAGAGCGGTCCCCGGAAACTTAAGAACACAACATGAGAGCGGAGCAACGGCGCAGGAGGACGGAGAAGGACCTGCTGCAAGAGATGCCGAGAGACGAGACAAGAGAGCCAGTCAGGAGCTCTGCCAGCGGTGTGAGTATACCTCTGGGACAGTATTAACACTCTGGTTTTAGAATTACGGTCGGTGGTTGTGTGATTTGGTGTGGGTAGGCACAATACTGGTGGTATTTTCTTGTTTCGGCAGTGCCCAGCCTGCAGCCCGTGTATGTGTCAAGCGACGAGAGGAGACCCTACAAGGGAAGCAGAAGGCGTGGGCAGTCGCAGATGATCGGCTCAATTTGCTCACTGTTTTAATTTTGTTGGAACTCAGTGACTTTTAGGCTAATACTTTTTAATAGTGATGTGTCGGTCATGAACGATTCGTTCAAAACGAACGAATCATCTGGGTGAACGAACTGAACTGAATCACTTACTGAAAAGAGTCGTTCATTTCTCAACTTTAGTTGCGCTCTCCTCTCTCCCGTCTCGTGTCTCTCTCTCTAGACCTTAAGAGTCGCTCAAAGCCCGCCCTCCCTCTCCCTTTCATGTCAGTGATACGTACTGACTGAACCAACAGGACGGAGTCGGTCGGGAGCTCTGTGTCACTAAAGCCCGCCCCTACTTCTCCCTCTCATGTCTCCAAAATTGAGGAAGTAGAAAATATATTATTTAACATTTAGGTGTCGCGAAAATGTATGTGCTTTTTATAGCTGCTGTCAGTTTGCAAACGGCTTTTATATCCAACTTAATTTCACTCAGCTGACTGTTTTAACATCTACTAATGATCGTGTTTCAGTCAGTACAGTGTGTGTGTGACTGAGGCTGGTGACTCGCAGTCTTGCTCGTTCATGTTCACTGAACGAACTGAACGAGAGCTCCGACATGAATCACTGAACGAACTGAGAGGAAGAGCGGAGCTCTCGTTCAGTAGAGGAAGAGCGGAGCTCTCGTTCAGTTCATTCATTGAACGAACTGAACGAGAGCTGCGACGTGAATCACTGAACGAACTGAGAGGAAGAGCGGAGCTCTCGTTCAGTTCGTTCAGTGAACGAACTGAACGAGAGCTCTGCCTCCGAGTCACTCTCTTCCTCTCAGTCAGACAGTCAGTGAGTGATTTATGTACTGAACGTACTGAACAGAACGGTCGGGGAAAATAAATGTGATTGTTTTAGCAGCTTTCAGTTTGCAAACTGTAGCATTATCCAACTAAATTCTCAGCTCATTGGCTTATTATTCACCACCGGCTGTTCTCAGTACGATTGCGAGCAGAACTAAACGTTCGGCCGTGTTTCAGCTTATTAAATTCTGATTCACAGGCAGAGCTACTGAGAAGTACTGAACAATTCGGTGAATGAATCTTTTGAACGAATCACTTTACTGAACTGATTCTACTGATTCAGTACACTGAAAAGAACTGCTTTTCACATCACTACATCTTAAGTGCTGGACTTCTAGCTCTCCCTTGTTTTATGAAACTTCTATTCCTACAATTCTACAATTCACTTAGCAGATGCTTTTATCCAAAGCGACGTACATCAGAGAGTAAGTACAACACAAGCAAGGATCTAGAAAAAGGGAACAATGTCAGTAAGAGCAAACGATCAGCTTTGAGTCCAATTGAACACATAGGTGCTGACAGGCATTGCACAGAGGCAAAGCACAACATTGACGGCAGTTCTTGAGAGCTCTAATCAGTATAGAAACCATCTCATAAGTCATCGTTATCAAACAAAAGCAATCGTGACAACCATCATCATCATCAATAATTTGGAGACCATCATCATTAAGTTAGTAGGTATTCATGAAAGAGCTGGGTCTTTAGCTTTTTCTTAAAGGTGCAGAGGGACTCTGCAGATCGAATGGAGTTTGGAAGTTCATTCCACCACCGGGAGGCAACTGAGGAGAAGAGTCTAGTCAGAGACTTAAGACCCTGTTGTGAAGGTTGTATCAGACGCCTTTCATTGGCAGAGCATAGTGGGCGGGAGGGAGTGTAGACCTGGATGAGAGAGTTAAAGTAAGGAGGAGCCGTTTTTGTCGCTGTTTTGTAAGCGAGCAGCAGACTTTTAAATTTGATGCGAGCAGTAACTGGGAGCCAGTGTAAGGAGATGAGAAGACCTGCCAGTAGAGAGTTTCAATAATCGATGCGTGATATCACAAGAGCCTGTACCAGGAGCTGTGTAGCGTGTTCTGACAGGTAAGGTCTGATCTTCCTGATGTTGTACAGGGCAAATCGACATGACCAGGCAATCGAGGCTACTTGAACCTTAAAAGTTAGCTGGTCATCAATCATGACACCCAGGTTCCGGGCAGACTTTGTGGGCATGAGTTTGGTTGTTCCAAGCTGGATATTGATCTGTGGTTGCATAGAGGGACTGGCTGGGATGACAAGGAGCTCAGTCTTTGAAAGATTGAGTTGAAGGTGCCGTTCATTCATCCATTTAGAGATATCGGCAAGGCATGATGAGATTCTTGTAGAGACTGTAACATCATCTGCCGGGAATGACAGGAAGAGCTGGGTATCGTCAGCATAGCAGTGGTATGAGAAGCCATGACAGCGGATTATTGAACCAAGTGAGCTTGTGTATATGGAGAAGAGAAGGGGACCAAGCACTGACCCTTGAGGTACCCCTGTAGATAAGCTGTGCGCTTTGGACACTTCTCCCTTCCACGACACTCTAAACTAAGGATTGCCCAGAGAGGTAGGACACGAACCAGCAGAGGGCAGATCCTGAAATGCCAAGTTCAGAGAGTGTGGATAGGAAGAGTTGATGGTTGACTGTGTCAAAGGCAGCAGACAGGTCTAGCAGTAATAGAACTGAGGAGTGACCCGCAGCTCTGGCAGCACGTAGCGATTCTGTTACTGACAGTAGTGCAGTTTCAGTAGAGTCGCCCCGCTTAAAGCCTGACTGATTTGGGTCAAACAGATTGTTTCTGGACAGGAACTCAGAGACTTGCTTAAAGACTGTGCGCTCAAATGTTTTTGACAGAAAGGGCAGAAGAGAAACCGGTCTGTAGTTTTCTACCTGGGCTGGGTTTAGTGTGGGATTTTTGAGCAGAGGGGTGATCCGAGCTTGCTTGAATGCGGTGGGGAACACACCCGTTGACAGAGAGGAGTTGATGATATGCTTAAGTGCAGCAATAAGCGGAGAGGAAATGGTCTGCAGGAGGCTTGATGGTATTGGGTCCAGAGGACAGGTGGTGGGCCAAGAGTCTAGCACAAGCTTAGAGACTTCATCCTCAGTCAGAGAGGAGAATGAGTCAAGTGAGGCACTTTTGGTTGGTGCCTTTGGGCTGAGTTGGTCAGGCTCAGAAAACTGGTTACTAATGGTTGCAACCTTTTCAGTAAAATACGAGGCAAAAATGTCTGGTGTGAACAGATCGGAGGGTGGAGGAGGAGGTGGTTGAAGCAGTGCGTTAAAAGCAGGAAACATTTTTCTTGTATCTGTGGCATTGCATATCTTGTTCTGATAATATGTTTTCTTGGGCGTTTTCAGGCTGGAGGAGAATGAGACAAGTCTTTGCTTATAGTCATTGAGGTCAGCGGACTGTTTGGATTTTCTCTCTGCTGACCTCAGCCCTGCTCTTTGCTCTCTTATGACTTCTGTGAGCCATGGGCTAGGGTGGGTTTTGCGAGCAGGTTTGGACACCAGAGGGTAAGGGTTACAGGCTTTTTTGAATGGGTTTGTATGTGACCTCAAGCGGACACTCAGCGAAACCCAGCATTTCTCCACCATTAGCGAACGGAAAAAACTGAAAAAAACTTCCAGAAAGAGGCAGAAATCACGAGCAAAACAAGACTCATTAGTGAACAGCCATCTGCCATGACCATATGAGCTGAGAAAGTAGAGGGAAAGACGAGAGGTTTAATGGTGATGGTAAAAAAGACTGATGCAAAAACTATGGGTTTTATTTTTAGTCCTCCTGAAATTATCTAGATATGGGATACGATAAAGCAGCTTTGGAGACAGAAACAAAATCTACGGATGAAACGCATATTACTTGAATGATTTCTTACCAATGTCTGTACCAAAGAATCTTTTCAGAGTTAACACTGCTTCTTCATTCACTTTTGAAAATTCATAGAGGTTTTCATCTCTGGTTATTGGTCTGTTGTTGAACCTCCACTCTGCAGTCCAGTTGGTTCCTAAATTGAGATCAGCTGGAGGAGGACCACATGTCACAGTTGCCTTTTGCTGTGAGATAACTGTAGTCGGTTCCAACTTTAAGGATGACTGACCTAGGAAAAAAAGAACAAAGGGTTCAAATGTGCAAACAAGTGTACAAAATGATCAGATAAGATAAAAATGTGTATGGAACCATTGCAAAAATTACAGAAAAATATAGTTTCCTTCATTTATTAGAGAAAAATTAAACCTGTCATACTGTCAAATATTATAGGGTAGGTTTCCGACAGGTCTAGAAAGATCCCTGTTTGTATAGCTTGAAGCTCTGTGTCTGATAATGAAGCTCCTCTTATGGTATAATCTCCGATGGTGCTTCCCGGCCTGCAACACAGAAAATACATTTATGACCATTTGACATTCGACTTGGACACCATCTGCTCCTGAAACCATGATTACGCTCTTCCACATTAAAGGGATACTTCACCCGTTGAAACATGAATCTGTATTGACATTGGGTCATATATGTAGTAGAAATGTGAAATACATTTTGAAGTTGGTGCCTTCTTGGCTGAGAAAAGGCAGAAAGTGTCTTTTTGGCTAGCGGCCTGCATCCTCTGCTGCTAGGGTGACCATATGTCCCGATTTGACTGGGACCATCGCAATTTTTTTGCTTTGTGTCCCCAGTTCCCACATACATCTATAAAACACTAATATGTCCCTGTTTTGGACAGTCCCTGTTCCGGTTTTAACCAACTAAAACACTACACTATGTCTGCAACACTGATTCGTCTCTTTATATGTCAACCAATGTCGATGCCGAGGCTGTTGCTGTTTTAACCAATATAAAAACATCACTAATACATGTCAAAGTTCAACAATGCTTTGTCTTCACGTGTCAATCAATCTCGAGGTTGCAGCTGTTTCTAAGCGAGCCTAGCTTATCATGCTAACAAGACCTGCTGTGTAATGACAGGTAGGCTAGCTGTCAAGTCCAAAAGGAAGCCAGCGTTTTCCAAAGAGCTCCAGGCTACAGCCTGATGGTCTTCATGGCAACCACTGCCATCAGTGTGTGAATGGGTAGGTGTGACATGCGGTGTAAAAGCCCTTTGAGAAGTCTGAAGAATAGAAAAGTGCTATATAAGCTCAAGTCCATTTACCATTTACTTTCAGTCGCCCATGTGAAATGCCGACATACAAAGCCATAATAAAAAGAGCAAACACAAACGGTTGGTACAGGCAGTAGCTCTGTTGAGATCTTCTTCAGTGAGGCAAACGCCAGCAGAACTCAAGCTTCTCACTCACTATGGACAGTCAAGACTCAGAGAAACATGTACACAGGATATACTTGACTTCTGCTGTATTATGTGTCAAATGTTGCACCTTCTGCCTTTAAAGGGGCCATATTATGCTTTTTCTGGTTTTATATGCTCTTTAGTGTGTTTTCCATGTGTCCTGTGCATTTTTAGGCACATCTATGTGCAAAAATTCAAAGTCTGCGGAAATGCGGCTTCTCCCACTCCTCCTGTTAGCTGCAGCATTAGCTGCATGTAACGCTGCATTCCCAATATGGTAAAAGGGGCGTGACATTTCTGAGAACCGTGCTGAGCGACTGACCAATTACGGCAGAGCCAACAGGCCGACCAATCAGATCAGACTTAACACACGTGGAGACTCTGAACGTGGGCACTTCAGAGCCTTAGAGAGAGAGTCAGAAGCGAGCAGGTGCATGGAGCGGCAGTATATGAAAACAGACACTTTCTTCGAACTTTAGCTATTGTGAACATACTTTAGTAGGTACATAGATTAAATATACAAACCCCAAAAAGGGCATAATATGACCTCTTTAAAAGAGGGTACAAGCTTACCTGAATCCACTTAACTGACAAGATGATTGTGGAGTCCGACATTGCTTTTGAATCTGTTAAAAGAATGTGACAAAAGCTTGTCTGTTATTGGTTTTAATATTATTCTTGTTTGAAATCAATGATTCAACTTTAGAACAAAACAATATGACTGAGAAAGAAGAAACACAAAGACTTACAGCTCTGCTTGCATTGACGAAAACATCATTTGATTCTTCATTGAAGGATTTGTCAAAGTCTATATCCAGGACAAAGGAAAGTTCTACGACAGAAACAGTAGTTATCACACGGGGGTAATTTCATGTGAAACATTAAACTTAATTACTTTTCTGTTTGATTTGCCTTTTATTCCTTTCCTTAAATAGATATCTATGAATGCAGAATCAGTGGTTGGGGGTGTTGAGAGCACAAGAGGTGATACACATACTTAGTACTTAGAGTTTTTAGAACAAGGTCATTCCGTGTAAATTTACATGCAATATGAAGCTACGAGCTAACAAAAGAGCGCTAACATTAGCCTGATCAGTATTCATATCGTGAATTTCCTAAACATTTTCAAACACAGCGGAGGAAAGGCAAGGCAAATGCATTTCTGTAGCACTTTTCAGAAACATGCCAATTCAAAGAGCTTTACACAAGACATCAACGACATCCTGACAGATGGGAAAAAGACGATAAAGAGAGAAATAAAAACAGCACAAAGAATAAAATTAATTCTGTGTAAATTTCCATGCAATATGAAGCTACGAGCTAACAAAAGAGCGCTAACATTAGCCTGCTAACACAACAATGCAGCTCGAGACATAGACATTTTGGTTGTCCGCTTGCACTTAGTTCTTAGTGCTCAGTGCTTAGTGCTTAATTAATGTGTGTTCCAGTTTGATAACTCCTTTTGTGCAATCATGAGGGGAGAAGGTTTGGAGGTGTGTCCCTATAGGAGAGCCGAGGTATTCAGTATGATTCAGCCAAACAGAAGTTTGTTTTTGTTTTGTGCTGGTGCGACATCTATCATGTGAAGTGTCTGACGTAACTAGGACAGAGATAATATACTGCTCCTTTAAGTTTACAACGTGCACATCTGGAGATAGTTTGTATCTGAAGGAGATTTAGGAGACTCCTCAAGTGGAATGTTTACATTGAGGTGTTGTGTAGGAGTATTGCCATATATGGATGTGTTACTTGATGTTTTTATGACCCATGACGAAAAGCAGATGTTTAGATGCATATAGGCGATTGTTTCTGTGTGCAAGGGGGGAGATCACTTTTGGCTGTGTCTCTCCCAGGTCGAACCATGGCGAGCCTGGCGATGCTGTAACTTGTTTGTCAATAAAATGATCATTATGTAAGCAAGTCAGTGTCAACGGCGAATTTTTTCATCATCAAACATATCAACAACAAGGGAATCCACATCAATTTTGACGTCACGAACAGGATCAGTTGGGGCCTTGTGCAGTGGACGAGAGCTTCAGTGTGACCATCCCTCCATCACCTCAGAGCGTGAGTGTTGTTTTTCACACATTGGGGAGCTGATTCTGTCTGAAATTTGGCTCCACTGTCAAAGAACTGAAGTGCAATGATATGTTGATGTTGGAGTAATTCTCCGTCTAAATTGGGGTTTATTGAGTTAAAAAGTATGTAATTAAAGGGGAATAAAGAAGAGGTGAATAAAGTTGAAAGGTAATGATAGCATAAGCACAACTAGTAACGAGACCAGTTAGCTAAAAAACTATGCAAGTTTAACAAGGACAGGGCCCGTATCCTCTTAACAGTAAGTCATGTGTAAATTAGACACTGAAGTGAAAGTTGGCTTTAAGAAGTAGTCAAATTGAGTAAAAATAAAGCAAAGGGGATCCCTACGTATAATGTAGGTAAATAAAAGAGAAGAAATAAAGATGAGAAGTGTAAAGATGAGAAGTAAAAAGATGAAAAGATAAGGAATAAAGATAAGAGTTTTGAGAAAAGTGGAAAAATAAGTGCTGAGTAAAGGAAAAAGTGTGCATTGAAGCATGCAGTGTGAAGTAATTTGTTAAAAGACAATTTGTTAAAAGTTTGGCCAAAGTAAAAAAAAATTGATAGAGGAAAATTATAAATGAGTCGACTTCAAAATTTGAACTGAAATGTGTGTGCGCTCGCTGAGGCGCGGCTGTTCTTGGAATGTGTGTGCGCTTGTCCTATACAGCCTGAAGTGTTTGTGTGTGTGTGTGGCTGCTGGACGGTCTCTGTCTCTGTCTGTGTCTTGTCTCTTGTGTTGTGATTTGGATGTGTTTGAGAGGTCTGTGTGGTGTGAAGATGTGTATTTGATCCGGAAATGTTCTTGTATATGTGTGATTGATAAATAGAATAGATGTATTATTAAATAGGCATATATAGCAGGTGATTGGTTAAAAGGCGATTTAGTAACTCATAAGAGGGGACATTTTTGCTTCATCAGTGTTAAAAAAACAACAACAAAAAAAACCAACAACAACCTATGAGCCCTTTGTTTCAGGGGACGTTTATATATTCGATTTGATAAAAATATGAGCCCCTCAGAGGATGTTTGTTTAATCTGATAAACACACATGAGCCTAATAAAGGACGTTTATACATAACATAAGTGTATATAGTATCTGTTTTTAACAGAAGTGGAGAGACCAGCGAGGATAGTCTGTACCCATTCAGATAGCAAGATTCGAGAAAAGAACAGAAAAATTCCTGATAAAGTTTAGAACTGCCGGCTGATTGGAGTGTGAACTTCTCTTTCTGTCTGTTTGAATGTATGTGTGTGACCACATTATGCTGTGAATTTTGTCTGTTCAAAAGAACGTATAGTCTTATCTAAAATAGGTGGAGAAGTTTTGACTATCAGAAGATACATTTTGTATTTGGCTGTTGATTGGGAGAATACTGTGCTGATTTCTGTGTGTGCGTAGACTCTGTGCATTAACTGCACTGGGTTTGGAGACGATGTTAACTCTTTGACAGCCAGGCTAGACTGGAAGCTCTTGAGAAATTTAGGAGGTGGTCCAAGAGGTGTTGCCTCAATTAGAGAGCCAATTAGATTACTCCTTTTGATGAGGAGTGGAGAGAGAGCCCTTCCTCCTCTCTCTTCTCTCTGTGGGACACAGAGGGAAGGAAAACACACCCCCAGTAGGGAGACAGCCTTTGCAATAGATTAAAAAAAAATAGATAAAGATTACAGATAATGTGTGCATATTTCACTGAATTGTTATTGCATTGTGTATATGAATTCAGAGTGACCCTAAGACACTCAACTTTTATTTTGTTTCTTTTTTGTCTTCTCTGTTTTTACTATGTTGTCTGAGAACTGGAGGAGATGGATTGTGTCTGAACTGGATCAGTCCAAAAGGCAGATGAGCAGATACCTGGCATTACTTCACAAACACTGGAAGCTTGCAGATAACAGCGCGTAGGGATCCTGAATCCAGCTTGATCAAGGCCAGTGCGGTTGTATCCACAAACTCTTTCAACAAACACCTGCATTTATCTATATGTGTATACATTTCTTTATAGTCAACATTTTTGATATATGTTTAGTTTGTTTTCACATATAGGCTTATAGTATTTCTTCTATGTATCGCATTGCAATTATATAGGAGGAAGTCTTGGCAATAGACTGACTAATTGAAGCATATCAACAACAAGGGAATCCACATCACATGTTTTCCAGAATACACACTGTGGGTTCACCAGTGAAGTGTTAGTGAGGTTAAATGTAAAGGAAATATTAATGGGGCTGTTTCCAATGCTGGTCTGAACAAGAACGATTGTTCTCCCATTGATGTCAAATCTGGAGGAATTTGATTTGTCTCTCGCGGGAAGAACGTTATCCATTGAAATAAATGTCATCACAGTGATATTCTTCTCTCCTTCACCAGGTTCTGATATAACTATCGTCACTGAAGAACTAAAGCTGGCATTGAAAGAGTCAGTGAATGTAGTTTTGTTAAAGAGAATAGAAGGTGTGTCAATTGCTAAAGAGACATCATTAATGAGACCTGTTATAGTCTCCAGTGACTGCAAGAATGTGTAGATTCTTCTCATCTGTGAGGCATTTCTTGTGTCATTGTTCAGGGACTCCCAGGTTTTCCATGCACCATATGTGGTGAGGACACATGCAGTGAGAAGGATATCCTGCATTGATAGGAAAGGAGACATTAGACCATGTAAAATGTAAAGTATACTGTTACATAAAGTAAACCTCACCCTTCTTGTTCACATACCTCTGCTAAGTCACTATTAATAGGTAGGGATGTATTTGCAACATTGCTGAGTATATCAACAATGGCATTTATGTTTGTGGGAGATTTAACCACTTCCTCAGTGAAGTTGACGGTGACATCGCTGAGTGTGTCCAAGAAACCTGGCAGTGAATTGGCATCCAAGAACTGTGAAATTTGAAAGAAAAAATATCATTAATGCCAAAAGTATATCAAGGATGAACATTGAAGTGATAATGTCAAAGTTGTTGTTATTATTAAAGACGGCTCTAAATGTTTTTCTGTTAGGAGGAAAGCCATAAAAATTGACTAAGGGCGCCCTCACACTAGGCAATCCGTACATGTTCTTGGCCTTGGCACGGTTAGAGGCGGTGTGCTTTGGCTAAGTACAGTTGCACAACCACGGGCAGGAAACATAGACAGCCTTCGTTAATGAAGAAATCCCAGAGTGTTCTGTCTGTATCTGACTAACATGACTCAAAATAAGCCACAAAGTCAGTAAAGTAGCTGTCTTGTTCTCTATGTTGTTCTCCAATGTGCGGATGCGGTCTCAACCTCTCATCCCTTTTTTATTTTTTGAGTCCATCTGTCTTATGAACTGAGCACGCTTCAGTATCACCTAAAGCCATGCAAGTGTTGTATTACGATGTTATGTACAAGAGGTCAACGTGCTCAGGCCCGGTTTGTCCTGGAGCAGTGTGAGTGCAGGTCAGCGGAGGAATGGGGAGGGGGAACAATCGGGCTTCAGCACAGTACGGAGCAACTGGGCCTGTGAGTGCCCCTTTAATGGTAAATAGACTTGAGCTTGTATATTTCCTTTTCTAGTCTTCTGACTACTCAAAGCTCTTTTACCTCGCAAGTCACACCTACACATTCACACACTGATGGTAGAGGCTGCTGCGTAAAGAGTCCATCAGTATTAAATAAGTCGTACACATTCATATGCCGCCGTGTAAGCAGCAGGAGTGACTTCGGGGGTTAAGTGTCTTGCCCAAGGACACCGTGGTCGCTTTTACCTGGGGACAGAAGGTTGAAGAGACGACCAACTCTATCACTGAACCACAGCCACATCTACACAATCCTACTGCAAGTGCATATGAGTGGAACATACTCAGTTTTTGCAATTCGAAGAAGTAATGTCTTGGCACAGTGCAAGTCGCAGAGTTTAGGTGAGTTTTGAACAGGACCATTTGAGCTCTGTTCATCCTCTTTATATAACACAGGAGAGATGTAAAGACAGTTTTATTGTATCTGTCTGGTTTAAATCTAAATTCATCTAAATGTTTTCTTCACTGTACTCTCGTTACTTTTGGTGCACTGCAGTCCTGTATAAAAGCATGCTTCTAGACTGTAAGTATTTCACTGCAAATGTGAATTATAGTTTGAATTATAGTGTAACGACCCTTTCACCAGAACACTAAGAGTCTTTGGCTTGCTGCTGTTTGTCTGTACAGTATGTGTGATTGCTGCAGGAGGTGTGTCCTGGCTGGAGGCTCATTGGCAGGATAAACTGCACCTGGGCCTGGTGCACCCTGGCCTACAAAGTAGGACTGGAAAATTAATTGAAAATTACTCAGAACCTCTCACCGACAGAATCTTGACGATTATTTAGATTATTTTCAGGGCAGGGTAATGTGACGATACGTCCAATCTGCGACATAGATGCAGTGTCCGTCGTTTGGATACATTTTGTCACTGGACAAATAGAAGTCGAATGTTAACACTGCAGTAAAACTGTTTGCAAGAAATGCAAGTTATTTATTTTCTACTGTTTTACAGAAGTTCATTTATACTTAAAAACTAAAATGTGTCGTTTTCATTTCAAGCGATGCTTTGATTTCAGTTCCAAATAATTCAATAAATAACCACAAAATAGTTAATCCGATATGCACTTTCATATCCCAGCTTTAATAATTTAGTATACAGTAGAGACCATGTCAGTTAACTATCAGGGCAAAAAACAAGAACAAAATAATTGAAACCCATTAATCGTAATCGAGTTAAAATGTTCAATTAATCTTGATATCTATTTGAGGTCATATCGTCCAGCCCTACTACAAAGATCTGCTGGTTTCCCTCATTCACTCTCTCTCAGCCTGACCGATGCTTATTGTTACTTTAGTTACTAATGTTAGTGCAATCTTCTACACCTCACACCACATCATAATTTCACACACATCCACACGTTCACCACTGAAGATACAGATTAAACACGCCTCAGAACTCTTATTATTGATTATTTATAATAAACTATTTGTTTTCTTTGGTAAACTTCTGACTCCTCTTGTCTTTTGCCATGACCCATAAGCCGATTTATGACAATGGGTATGTGAAAAATAGTTTGGTGTGCACCAGTACAGCAGAGTCTTGACACCTGTATTTGCAAAATAAATATCAATACATTTATATTCAGGAAGTATATAGCCAACTGTCACACTGGCAGCTGAATGAAGCACCCTTCATCAAGGTGTAGGGTATAAATACACAGGCTTTGGGAAAAACATCCCTCTCTCCGCTGGAAACAGGAACTGTGTGTTACTATGGTTTCTCAACGGCATCTCGCGGGAGCAACAGTTAATGCCTTGATCCACCAGTGATCGGAAAATGAGCGGATTAGATCTTCCAGAAAACGTAGGTGTTTAAGGCGTCTTTTACTCTTGATATACCAGCAAAGGTGCGTCTTTTATTAAATTTTTGTACACAAAGAGGCAATAGGTTCACAGTACTCGTGAGTGACAGTGTTGCAAGGTTTACATCAACAAACAAAAACAAACACCATTTGAACAGGGTGGTCAGTCGGTCATACTATGGATCACGGCTGTGAGTATGCATAACAATCTCAGTCCTTAAAGCAGAGTAGAAGAGGGAAGACAAAAAAGAAACAATAAATACATACATCAATACAATAATTACAAAGCTTAATTGACAAAGAGGTAGCAGCAGGACAGTGCAGGACCTTATTCAGGGACAAGTGGGAAAATAATCTTTTCTGCATAAACAAGGAAGGGGCCCCACACTTCTCTGAATTTACGAGAGGATCCTTTCAATGTATATCGAATTCTTTCAAGTTTTAAGTTATTGAAAATCTCTTTTACCCAGAGGTGTGGGAAGGGGGTGTTGTTGATTTCCACCTCATTAGAATGAGGCGTCGAGCCAATAAAGTAACAAAGGCAATTATATCTGATTGCGGTTTAGGCAAGGGCACCTGAGAGATGTCAAATAAGGCAGTCATAGCATTAAGTTGTAGAAATGTCCCAGTTACCTCCGATAGAGTTTTAAAAATTGCAGTCCAATAATTATACAAAGATGTGCAGGACCAGAACATGTGGACATGGTTTGCAGGCGTCTGGTGACATTTCTCACAGGATGGGTCAACTGTGATCATAGATCTTGGAGAGCTTCTAACCTTAGTCCAGTGAGTGTGGTGAACCACTTTACATTGGATAAAGCCATGCCTGGCACAGATAGATGAGGTATGCACCCGCTTAAGAATATCCCCCCAGAGCTTGTCCGAAATCCCCTCCCCCAGTTCCTCCTCCCAGAGAGCCTTCACAATATTCAAAGAGGTTGAGGATAGGGTTTGACTCTGACTATAAATATGTGAAATCATACCTCTTCTCATGATTGGGACTTGAATAAAGAGAGTATCTAGGGTTGTATCGGCAGGCAGGTTTGGAAATTGGGCATATGTATTGCAAGCAAAATTACGAGCTTGTAGGTATCGGAAAAAGTGACTCAGGAATAGAAAACAGTTCCTGGAGTTGTTGAAAAGATGCAAATACATTATCGATGTATAAATCTCTAAACCGTTTAATGCCAAGATTGGACCAAATCACAAAAGCACCATCAGATATGGAGGGAGGGAACACGGGATTTGCAGCCAGGGGAGCATAGGTTGAGAAAATATGCAGACCAAAGTTACGCTTAAATTGGTTCCAAATCCTTACAGTAGTTTGGACAATTATATTTTTAACACAGGGGTAGAATGGGCTGTTGGTGGGGGAGTGTACCAAAGATATCAGTGACATGGGTTTCGAGGAGAGGCACTCCATAGCCAACCAAGAGGGGTGGGGGTGAAGCGTATCAGATCTGATCCAGTGCTGCACAATTCTGAGGTTTGTAGCCCAGTAATAGAACCTAAAATTTGGTAAGGCCATCCCTCCAGAAGACTTAGGTCTTTGTAAAAAGTCTTTACGCAGTCTGGGGGGTTTCCCAAAATTAAAATATAAATTTTCTTAAAAAACTTTTGAGTGATAAAAATCGGTATACATTGAAATAAATAGGAAAACTTTGGAAGAGTATTCATTTTAACACAACTGATCCGTGCAGCTAAATTCAGTGGGAGTAATGACTATTGATCAAAATCTTTCTGCATACGTGCTAAACAGGGGGCAAAATTGGCTTGAAAGAGATTTTTAAAATTACTTGTAATTTGAATGCCAAGATAAGTGAAGCAGTGATGAGATATTTTAAATGGAAAACTGTGTAGGGGCAAACTGTGTGCGGTTGCATTCAGAGGAAATAACTCACTTTTACCAAGATTTATCTTATAACCTGATATAAAACCAAAAGATTTGAGTGTGGCAAGTACAGCAGTGATGGATATAGATAGATTGGAAATATATAGAAGAAGGTTGTCCGCGTAAAGATAGACTCTCTGTTCTAAGCCACATCGGGATATCCCAGAGATGAGGGGGTTAGAACGAAGCGCAATCGCAAGTGGCTCCATTACTACGGCAAATAGCAGGGGGCTCAGGGGACAACCCTGTTTCGTTGACCTGTGGAGAGGAAAATATTCAGAGCGCGTGTCGTTCGTTCTAACTGAGGCTTTGGGAGAGAATAAAGAAGCTTAACCCAGGAAATGAACTTTAGACCGAAACCAAATCTGTCTGGTGTGTAAAAAAGGTAGCCCCACTCTACACGATCGAAAGCCTTCTCGGTGTCCAAAGATATTAAAGCTTCTGAAACAGTAGATGTAGGTGGGTTATAAATTGTATTGAACAAACGTCTTAAATTAAAATACGAATGCTTATCTTTAATGAAACCAGTTTGATCAGGGGAAATTATGGTTGGAAGTATTGAGTCAAGGCGTAAGGCTAAAAGTTTGGATAGTAATTTAGAGTCCACGTTCAGAAGACTGATGGGGCGGTATGAAGCACAGGACAGGGGGTCTTTATTCTTTTTCAATATAAGGGAGATTGAGGCTTGGGTAAGTGTCTGGGGCAATGAAAGAGATTCAAATGATTCGTTAAACATATCAATCAAGATAGGGGCCAATTTATGGAGAAACGTCTTATAAAATTCAACAGGGTATCCGTCCGACCCTGGGCACTTCCCAGACTGCATAGACCTGGCTGCTGTAACGAGTTCTTCAACGGTAATATCTCTTTCCAAGTCAATAGCATCATCAGGATGGACATTGGGTATATTAAGTGAGTTAAAGAAACTTTCAAAGTGAGAAATCTCCTCAGTATTTTCTGAAGTGTATAGCAATTTGTAAAAATCCCTAAATTCGTCATTAATTGACTTAGGATCAATAGTCACACCTGAAGCTGTACCTATTTGTGGAATTTGGTGAGTTGCCAAGGTCTGTCGCAGTTGGTGGGCTAACAACTGACTGGCCTTGTCCCCTTGTTCGTAAAAAGTATATCTGGACTTCAGTAGCATTTCTGTTGTGTGATCTGTAGCTAGAACCTCAAACTCAGTCTGCAGAGAAAGACGTTCTTTGAAAAGAGATGGAGAGGGCGGAGAAGGCATATATCGCATCTAATTTTGAAATGCGTTTCGTCAGTTCACTAAACTTTTCTTTTTTAATTTTCCTCTCGAAACCACAATACACTGAGAAAGAAGTCTATTTGCTTTGAGATGAAATCCACAAAGTCCTTGTTTGAAAGTAAGCGGTTGTTGAAACGCCATGGAGAGCGGTTGTTATCAAATCCTTCAAGTTTTATGTCCATAGTGACTGTGGCATGGTCGGATATGACTATTGCATTATATGAAACAGATTTTACAGATGAAAGGATTCTATTATCAACGAGAAAATAATCAATAAAAGTAAAGGTATGATGCACATTAGAGAAAAATGAGTACTCTCTACCAGAAGGGTTAAAAAAACGCCAGGGGTCAGATATGGCAAAGTGTTCTTTATAAAACTTAACGGACTTCGAGGAGGTGCAATTTCGGGTAGAGGAGCGATCCATTTTCGGATCAAGCCAACAATTGAAATCTCCTCCAACAATAAGAAAATGTGAGGATATGTCTGATAGAATGGAGAACAGTGTTTTAAAAAAGCTGTCATCATCCCAATTGGGACCATAAAGATTAACAAAAATCATATGTGTTTTGTGAATTTTGCCACTAACAATTATGTATCTCCCATTTGTGTCCGCAATAACTTTAAAGGGAACAGATTTGTGGAACATAATGGCTACTCCTCTGGATTTACTGGGAAATGAAGAATGATAAGTCTGGCCAATCCAGCTACTTTTTAGTCTGAAATGATCAGATACTTTAAGATGAGTCTCTTGTAAAAAGAAATTATCTGGGTACCCAGGTGCTGAAGATGGTGCAGGACCTTGCTGCGCTTAATGGGATTATTTAAACCCCTGCAGTTCCAGCTGCAAAATTTTATCCCGCCCCTATCCTGCTGTGATAATTTGGGCAAAGCTATGGCAATGTCATGAGAAGCAAGGACTGGAGAAAAAAAAGTGATGTGAAGATACAAAACCAATATTTAGTGTATATATTTTGCATATGTCGACCAAGCAGAACCACCACAAAACCGACAAAGAACACAAAACAGAACATTCCCTTGTGGTAAACTAACCACGTTGCCCCCACCCACCCTGGCAGAAGTGTCTCCCCAAACGAGACACGTGCAATAACCCTTATAAGACGTGCTAAACGCTCCATCGTAGCCATCGCTATATATAAGCTATAACGCACAGCTACCTGAGGGAGAAAAGTGACGTAGTCAAACATGAACACGTATAGTATAAACAGAGTATCTATAGAGAAAAAAAGAGAAACATAGCCGTAAATGACAGCTAACCGAGTCACCCTGTAGCGCGCTGTGCAGCAATGCCTTACTGGGAAATGTAGTCCAAGTCAATGTAAACAAATGAATGAAGGCACAGTTAACCAGCAGCATAAACTCACATAAGCTATGTCTCTTCAAACATCACCTGGGGTGACAGCTTTCTTGAGGTGCTTGTTGAGATAGTCGTTTGCAGAGGCTGGTCCTCAAACCGAAGTGTGTCTCCGCTCGGCAGTGTTATTCTGAGTGTAGCGGGAATAGCAGCCCAAACTTGATGCCCAGGCATGAGTGGAGTAGCCACTTAACATTTCCAAAGGTAGCCCTCTTTTTAGCGACAGTGGAAGTGTAGTCAGCAAAGATGGAAATCTTCCTGTCTCGATAAAGGAGAGGGGAGAGTTCCCCAGCTCGGCGAAGAATCTCGTTGCGAAGGTGAAAGTAGTACACTCTCACCACAAATGGTCGGGGTGAAGCTCCCTCTTTAGGCTTGTCCTGCAGCATCCAATGGGCACAATCCAGCAGCGGCTTTTCATCCAGGTGAAGTAGTTCTTCTAGAAGTTGGGCAATGAATTCAGTAGCACGGGGCCCCTCCGATCCCTCCGGTAAACCCACAAGCCAGATATTGTTTCTCCTGGATCTCCCCTCAAGGTCCTCACATCGATCATCCAGATGCCCAACTTTAGCTGTTAGCTTGCTAACAGTAGCCTCCAGCTCCGTTATACGGCAACTATGGTCAGTAGTTCCTTGCTCGAGCTCTAGCATGGTTAGCCCATGTTGCTCTACTTTTTTTTTCAGTGGTTCTATCGACTCTTTCAGCTCTTTACGAACAGAGGTAATCTCGGACTGCATGACAGAGAGTTTTCCGAAAATATCAGCTTTAAGGGAGTCCATCATGGATTTCAGAAGTTCGGCATAGAGAGCGTTAGCACTAGAATCAACAACCTGTTGAGCAGCCGATTCAGGACAGGGCGATGTTTTGCTGCGCTCTTGCCGGCTCCGATTTTTGACGAGCAGAAGACATTTTGGTCGTTTTGGTTGACAAAAGTCACCTACAGTACTTGTAAATATATACTCTGTGTATTGGAACTATAAATGACCAGGATATTGCCAAAAGTTTTTAAAAGTAAGTCACATTCCCAGGAGCAGCGGAGAAACGCGTCCTACATCCCTGCGCACCCTAGCGGTCTCCATTCTGTAAAAATCTTTATGTAGATTCTTCTTACACTCATATTAGTGTAAACTGTAAATTAATAATAATCTTTATACAGTCTATGATGTCGACTAATAACACAATTATTAGATGAAGCCTTCATTCTTTATTGTAATTTAATTGTAATGTCATAGAACAGGTTGTCCTAAATTAATGCAAAGACAAAGATAATACAGTTGAAGCTCAGACGTCGTTGTGGTTCTACAATAATAGTTTTAGAAAAGAAAAAGTTACCAGTAGCCTGATTTTTGTGACAAAGGCTGGAGCAGCAAGGAGTTTGCTTGAGGCCCCCAAATTATTATTATTAAAAATATGTTGTGTCAGCATGTGCTGGTAAATTCCTCACCTCAGACTGCAGGAGCAGCTCCTGAACCGGTCCTAGGATACAGTTGTTTTCAACTTCTCTCCATGATCCATCTTCCTGACAAACTCCTTTCCTCTCTCCCACCTCGTCACGTTCACAGGAACCGACGGCCATCTGGCCAAGATTTCCAGTACCAAATACAACATCTTCACAAACAGGATCTAGGAACAAAGAAATGAATGAAACAACATTACTTTCAAGGGAAGAAAAATATTTTGATCTGATCTGTATTTCATTCCCTTTAATCAACACTTACCTCCTGTAGTTATCTCCAGCGTAGTTCGTTTTAATTCTTTGCGGCCGGACACTTGACAGGTGAATGTATGTTTCGTTTTTTCACAGATGGGGATGAGAAACGGGTAGCTGATAGAATTACCTGTGCCTAAGACTGCAAAAATTGTATTTATTAATATGAATATAAAATATAAAAGATTAGCCTTTTGGTGTTTGTTTGATTCAGGCTTACCTTCAAAGTTTTGAGTACTGAGTACTGAGTACAACTCAACAGTGTAGGGTTCGTTGACAGAGCACTCTAGTTTCACTTCTCTTATGACCTCACAATGGATTTGTCTGCTGAGCGGCGTCAGTCGTATCAGAGGTTGCTCTTGGAGTGTGAAGCTTTGATTGGATCTCTCTCTGAAGACTTTCTTGCCATTTTCTGACTTCAGCCTACATTCATATTGACCTAAACATCAAAGGGGATTTAAAGTTAATGTGAAGTAGCAACACAGAAAAATAAATGGCATGCATTCATTTTTTAATTTGATTCAATATTCTAATCGTTAAGCAAGAGAAACACCATGATTAAACTACAGGCTATTGTTGCCATAGCCTACAGCCAAAAAAAACTGAACATTCACAGCCTCTGAATTCTATAGAATTTCAACATTGACATTTATTTCTTCCTATTTCCCTCTTTTCACCAACATTACATTTTAAACTGGGGATTTCCTTTTTCTTGGGTCGTGTGTCTCTACCCCAGCTTGCGCTCCTTTCCTTTAGTGCACTCGTCACCTCCCTCTAAAGCCCGCTGCTGCTACTCTGTAGGACGCTTGGATTGGGGTACCTCACCACTGTTTGTACCCCCGTCTTCGATACCTTTTTCCAGGGCATTTATGTCCGATCAGACACAGCGCTGGCCAGCTGTCTGGTGCGCAACAACAGCGAGTGTAGAGCGCCCGGTCCACAGAGGACGCAGTGCGCACCTCCTGCGCAATGTATGACACTTCATTCTTAAGATTAAGGGAATAAAAGAGAGGCCCTGTTTAATGCTGATGTTTTCTGATAACCAAATTTTTCTTTGTAATTAGGGCCCGAGCACAAACTGTGCGAGGACCCTTTTGAAACCCTAGCGATTATTATTTTTATTATTTTTCATCTGCCACTTTGCGGCCACTTTTGAGGGGCTGAACGTGCCTGAAAACTCAACAAACTTTCCATGGTCATCAGGCCTCGTGAAAAATTTGATATTTTGGTGGTTTCGTAAACGGAGTTCGCAAAATGGCTCAGTGGCGCCCCCTTGAAATTTTCAAAATGGCCTCCCCATTAAGGGTTTTTTCACTCACGAAAATTGGTACGCATATTAAGCTTGTCAGGACTAAAAATCCTCTTGCAGCGTTTCAAAAAAACCCAACAGGAAGTCCACAAATTAAAGTCGAATTTAACGATAACGGCCCAAAATCGCTCAAAATCGCAAATTTCAGCCTTCCTATTTGAATGCACTTGTCCGAGGGCGCTCATCCGATCGATGCAAACTCAGTGTCAGTGCGTTCTAGACAGGCTCATCATATCTCGTTGTGCGCTGCACGTTATTTCGTCAAAGGGTGTGGGCGTGGCGTGCATTTTAAGTTTTTGGAGCGTTTTGGCAAGTTGCCAAAGTTAATGCTTATATCTCTGACATCTAGTGTTCAATCATATTACAATTTCTCAAGCATGATACGGGACCCGCCCTGAACACATCCATGATTGACATTTTTTAATTAGTCACAGCGCCACCTGTTCACAACAGGAAGTTACTGCTTCACAATTAGCATTAGCCATCGCTACACGGTAGCTAATTTTCCTCTCAAAATTGGTGTGCACCGTGCTAACACCTTGGCCATAAAACCCTTTCAAGCTCAAATGCCTACGTCCAACGCTGTGGCCATACAGACGCGTCGCTTGCCATCAAACAGGAAGTAGTTTTTTCACGGGCTTAACATAGTCGTACTGTCCCGAAACTTCATACATATGATCCTGGTAGTAAAGTCAAACATCTTATACCGTTTAAGTGAGTGGGCGTGGCTTAATGGCTTAGTGGCACCCCCTACAATATTTAAAACATTCAGCCCCCGCAGCACGTTGAACCTACAATTCTGAATTTCACTATGCATTTCCAACATGACAAAACCTACAAAAAAAAACTCAACAGGAAGTCCACACATCACATCACCATCAAACAGGAAGTGGCTGTAACTCTGATATACTTTGTCTCATCTCCTTGAAATTACATAGGTATGATCAGGGTTGGCCTCTGAACACATTGACATAACAATATTCAACTTTAACCATAGTGCCCCCTAATGCAAGGACTAAGTACTACATCATATATACTTTCTCAGATCTGCTTAAAATTTCTCAGGTATGTTCAGGGTTGGCCTCTGAACACAATGACATAACATTAGTCAACTTCAACCATAGCGCCTCCTAATGCAAGGACTAAGTACTACATCCGATATACTTTGTCTGATCTGATTGAAATTTCACATGTATGATCAGGGTTGGCCTCTGAACACATTGTCATAACAATAGTCAACTTCAACCAAAGCGCCCCCTACTGCAAGGACTAAGTATTACTTCCCATATAAAATTTCACATTTTATTCAAATTTCACTTGAATGATCTCAGTACTGGCCTGCTCACATCTAACCTAATACAATTGGGCCACTGACATAGCGCCCCATACTGGAAAGACACTGTACTACATCTCATATCACAACGACCTTCCTGAGGGTCTGAGAGGAGCCCAGAATATCGAGATTTTGAAACGCAGTCTTAAAACTGATTTATTCAGTCTGGCTTTTATATAGTGTTTTATATAAATTCAAATCTTAACATTACTGTATTGTCTTTTTATCCTACTATAATTTTAAATATTTTCCTCTTATATATTTATTTTAATATCTTGTTGCTTTTATATGTCGTATTTTATTGTATTTTATTTTTATACATATATTTTATTTTTAATTCTTATTGGTGTGCATTGGTCTCTCAATGATTTTATTAACTACTTTTTGTCAATAACTTTTCTGCACTCTTGTTAAGCACTTTGAACTGCAATTTAATTTGTCTGAAAGGTGCTATATAAGTAAAGTTTGATTGATGATTGATATACTTTGTCAAATTTGCTCCAAATTTCACTGGTATAATCAGGGAAACCCTAGTGATTATTATTTTTAGGGCCCGAAGCACTGACAAGTGCGTAGGACCCTCTTGGAACCCAAATGATTAATAGGGCCCGAGCACGAATTATGCCATTAACATAGCGCCCCCTACTGGAAAGAGGCGGTACTGCATCTCAAATACTTTGTCTGATCTGCTTAAAATTTCACAAGTATGATCAGGGTTGGACTCTGAACACTTTAACCTAACTATAGTCAGCTTCAACCATAGTGCCCCCTACTGTAATGACTAAGTACTACATCTTATATACTTTGTCTGATCTGATTGAAATTTCACTTGTGTGATCAGGGTTGGCCTCTGAACACATTGACATAACAATAGTCAACTTCAACCATAGCGCCCCCTACAGCAAAGAGTAAGTACTACCTCCTATATACAATGCTCAATTTCCTCCAAATTTCATAGCTGTTATGACAGTGCCAGCCTGAACTGCTCTAAGTCAAAATTTTATGTGATCTTCATTACGTTGCCTATTTCAACATGCCACTACTACGATTTTTACACAAATCAAACTGCACGGCCTGCTGCTTTGCCACGTTAAGCTGCAGCTGCACTCCTGCGGTCGAAACATACCCCGACAAGCACAGGGGTGCGAGGGCCCTTCATCACCACTTGCGGTTTTAATTTAAATTATTATTCCAAAAGGTTGTATCAAAAGAGCAGCCATTGGCCTGTGTGAAAATGATGAAAGGAGAACCCTTAAAGCCTTTTCCTCTGCCACAAAAGAGACAATTTCCTCCCAGTCATTGTGGTTCTTTCTTCCGAGAAGCCCCAGTTTCTTGAAATGTCTTTTCAGGGTCCTGATACATATGACACTGTGATGATGATGTGCGAAAACAATGTGTGGTTTACCTCTATCAAAGTATAACTTCAAAAGATGCTCCACGTGATGTGGATTTCCTTGTTGTTGATATGTTTGATGATGAAGAAATTCGCCGTTGAGACTGACTTGCTTTCAAAGAGTATAATTTTATTTAAGCAAGAAACAGAATCACTGGTCACGTCTGACCAGGAGGATCAAGAAGCCAATAATGATCTCTGTCGAACACACAGAGACAATTGCTTATATGCATCTAAACATCTGTTTTCCGTCATAAAAACATCAAGTTACACAACCATATATGGCAATACTCCTATACAACACCTCAATTTAAACATTCCACCTAAGGGGACTCCTAAATCTCCTTCAGATACTATCTCCAGACGCACCCATTGTAAACTTATATTATCTCTGTCCTGGTTACATCAGACACTTCATAGTCCCCCCTAGCGAGACTATAGTCTCGCAAACGAGATAAATTATACAATTATGATGTTAATTAGCCTCATACGAATCACTTCTGTTCATGCTTAACCTTAGTAATATAGTAAAATTTTATTTGTGGAGTGTGAGAGCGAAAAACCCATCAGGCAGCTATCTTTCTTTATTATCCATCAAACAATCTAGACAGGAAAACTCTCTCACGGTTCCTCTGCCCCAGGCAACCACCTATAGTACTCCAAACCAATTAAAAAGAAAAAGGGTTATGAAAACTTTTCAGGATGATATATAAATGCACACATTCAAAACCTCAGAAATAAAATCTAAAAATTGTCCAAAGTCAGGCTGGTCGACCCATCGCACCTTCCAATGGACCTCTCCCTACCTAACACCACTTTCCCTAAGGATCGATAAAGAAAGAAAACACCTGAGGTCCCAATATATGCATCTTATACAGTTCCAGAAAAATATGTCTTGCTAAAAATATCTACTATAAAGTAAAACATACAAAAATATTTATCAACAATACAAGTTACATTGTAATAAACCTTCAATGATTTTTCAATCGAAACCCCTCATCATGATGTCTTCATTCAGGTTTCCGTTATCCATTTCCATCCTCCATTTTCTTAAGTTTGGTTGTTTCAACTCCATTAATCTGGAAGGATCTCTGGACAATCAGCCACCCTCACATTGGTCTCCCAAATATCATCCTGGGAAGAAAAATCAACAGCCAGTATCTTTGTACATACAAAACATCAAAAATATTAATTTTTGTATCATACTTTCACCTTATTCCACTACATGATTAACATATACATGATTAATATATTCAATTCCCCCCTTTTATCAATTCACTTCCAGTTCAAAATAATAGTGAGTCAATGTTGAATTCAGATATTCAAAAATGGATATTTCTCTCCAATCTCTATGACCTCCTCACCTTCACTTAGGTCATTACCACTCAGTAGCGGCATCT